ATTTTTCCCCGAAAGTGGGAATGAAAAGTCAACACTGCTCTTTCTAAAAACAATTTGGCAATATAAATCAAGAGTCTAAAGAATGTCTGTACTCATGGTCTGTACTCTGGGAAATAGGGCTATAGGAAATAACCAGGGATGTGAACAAAGATTTTAATATAAAGATGCTTATCAAAGTCTATTAAAAGTTGAGAAAATTGGGGGGGAATCTAAGTGTCCCACAATAAGAATATAGTTAAAGTATGATCTTTGTATGAAAGAATATTATGCAGCAATTAAGAAGCATGTCAGAAAAAAATATGGCAATATTAATATACTCAAAGTGAGAAGCAGTCATGAGTAAAAAATTAAGACATTATACTTTCTTATACTATGATCCTGATAATATAATGTTTATGCATAGAATCAATACTGAAAGAAAGATAGTGAATTATACTGGTCGTTATTTTTGGGTGGTGCTGATTCTGTTTTCCTCTTCATGTTTTTCTGTATTTTCCACAATGTCTACAGTGATCTTGCATTAGTTTTATAATCATAAAAAATAATAAGGTATTATATCGGGTTCATATAAAGCAGTGCAGGAGGTATGAAGCTGGGGAAACTTCTCTGCATATGTAGCTTTTAAAATAGTGGTACATTGGGGCACCTGGGTGGCTCAGTTGGTTAAGCGACTGCCTTCAGCTCAGGTCATGATCCCAGGGTCCTGGGATCGAGCCCCACATCGGGCTCCCGGCTCCACGGGAAGCCTGCTTCTCCCTCTCCCTCTCCCCCTGCTTGTGTTCCTGCTCTCGCTCTCGCTGTCTCTGTCTCTGTCAAATAAATAAATAAAATCTTTAAAAATAAAAAATAGGGACGCCTGGGTGGCTCAGTCGGTTAAGCGTCTGCCTTCGGCTCAGGTCATGATCCCAGGGTCCTGGGATCGAGTCCCACATCGGGCTCCTTGCTCGGCGGGGAGCCTGCTTCTCCCTCTGCCTGCCTCTCCCCCTGCTTGCGTTCTGTCTCTCTGACAAATAAATAAATAAAATCTAAAAAAAAATAAAAAATAAAAAAATAAAAAAATAAAAAAATAAAAAATAAAAAATAAAAAAATAAAAAAAATAAAATAGTGGTACATTGTAAGAGACTCTTAACGATAGCGAACGAATTGAGGGTTGCTGGAGGGGCGGTGAGCAGGGGATGGGCTAAATGGGTGATGGGGATTAAGTAAGGCATCTGTAGTGATGAGCACTGGTGTTACATGTAAGTGATGAATCACTAAATTCTACTCTTGAAATCAATATTGCACTATATGTTAATTCACTGGAATTTAAATAAAAATTTGGAAGAAAAACAAAATAATAAAATAATTAAATTGAACTAAATTAAATTAAATTAAATTAAATTAAATTAAATTAAAAAGTGGTACATTAACCTCACTCGGGAACTCAAAAGCCCTCAAAAGTGAGAAAAATGCCTTAATGGGCTCTAGGAGCTTTGATGTGTAAACTATTCAAGGTCTTCTCCCAAGCTAAGGACATATTCTCCATAGACAGAGGCTCATGGAATCCCTCTATTAGTATTCATCTGCCTATCCCATAAAACATGACCTAGCAAGTCATTTTCAGTCAAATCTGAAAGAGGGGCAGAGGGCCCCAGGTAACATAATGCGCCCAGAACATGTCTGAAGCTCTGACAGGTGCAAACAACTCCACTTGTCTAAATATAATTTCACTTAGGCAGTTTGGAAACAGTCTTTCCCACTTTCTATTCTGATCAGGCAAAAGAATGTTCTCTTCTTCAGTTCTGACTCTTGGTGCTGGTTATTTATATTTAGATGCACTGTGCAATAATTTTTATTCAAGGGGAAGGAAAGTTAGAATGCTGCGAAGAAAAAAAAAAAATTCTTCCAAAATCTGGGATGAAGTTAAGAGCTAGGTTTAGGCTATTTTTGAAATGTGTTCAGTTGAGAAGGAGATAAGATATTAATAGTATTTTTTTTCAAACTTTCTGGATGAACAAAAAGCTGATGTTAACACATGCATAAAGAAACATTGTCTAATATTTAAGCCAGAAAGAAGACTTAATTCTTAATCAGTAGAGTGGAAATTCTTTTGAGGGACATATAGAACCCTGCTCCTTTGCCAATTGCCGCCATGCTTTCTCCCATTACCCCTAAACTCTGACTCGCCTTCAGGATCCTGCTCAATGCTCACTTCCCTAGAAGCCTCAGCTGACCTTCATTTCCCATCTCACATCCATGGCCACACATGCGCAGTCTTCCTCTTGGCTCCCAAAATACAGAGAATTACCTTCTACACATTTATCCTACATCGTTATTTATTAACCTAAGAGCTTCTTGAGAGTAAGATTATATTTCACTGATTTTCCACTTCTAGGACCCCCATTTACAGTAGTTACTCAATAATGTGTTGTTAAAAGAGTAAACAAATGTGTAAGAGAGGATTGAAGAAGTCACAGATGAGCCCAAGTGCAAGGAAGATAGCCACCATATAGCCACTAAAAGCCACCAAAAAGAAAGTTTATGGGAAAAATATAATTAGCTTTGCTTAGCTACTGCTAGGCTTTTGGTTTATTTCTATGGGGAGGTTGGCTTACTAAATGAAATTAAGGCTAAAATTCAATGCCAGATATTATAAAAGGGACTTGGTATGCGTTGACTGAAAGGTTGACACTTTCCTTTTTTACTTTTTTTTCTACTATAAAATGAAGGTGAGTCAAGATCTTACAGAACTAAGGGCCAGTCCAGCTCTCAGGTTCTGGGGTCCTGGACCTGCTGAGTTCGGCTGGAACAGTCCTCCAGAGCTTGCATTCCAGCTCTATTCTGACTGCTGAGGAGACTGTGCTCTCTTCAAGAAGCCACAGTCCCACCTACCAAGACTGTGGTGAGCCATAACTAAGTTTAGCCCCACTCTCCTGCTCTGAAATAGTCATCTAAACCACAGGGGAAATTAGTACCCATGGTTTCCTAGATCTATGTAAGGAAGATGCTTCCAAACCTTAATGCTATAAGGTTGTATTTACTTGTCCCAACTCTTTCCCGGTTTGGTTCAGATCACCCCTTGCCTGCATTCATTTTGCAATACCATTGGCTCTTCATCTTTGCCCACTCCTCTAGCATGCTCACTACCCTTGAGAAACGTAGCCAATACTTGGCTTCAAAAATCAACGTACTCGGGCGCCTGGGTGGCTCAGTTGGTTAAGCGACTGCCTTCGGCTCAGGTCATGATCCTGGAGTCCCGGGATCGAGTCCCGCATCGGGCTCCCTGCTCAGCAGGGAGTCTGCTTCTCCCTCTCCCGCTCCCCCTTCTTGTGCTCTTTCTCTCTCTCACTCTCTCTCTCAAATAAATAAATAAAATCTTAAAAAATAAAAATAAAAATAAAAAATCAACGTACTCATCAGCTAATAAAAGGGGTTTAGAGTTGGCAAAGGGAATATTGTATTTGCCAACCGCCTACCAATAGCTGATTTCAGAGGTGGTCCTTTTTCAGATATGCCCATTAAAAAAGAAGGAAGAGGACTAATAATTGCCCTTCAGACAGGAAGACTGTGTCTTGAGCTCAAGGCCTGTATTGGATTAAGGCAACCTACCAGTGTTTTAGTTTTACATTTCTAGTAAAATTAGAATTTTCTCTCATATCCCTTAAAAGCAGAAATTCTCAAATGCCATGTTCAACGTAATGAACTGTCCTAAAGCTAAATATATCTAGTGTGAAGGAATGGTCTTTACTCTGATACTACGTTTATTAGTTTGTTTTTATTGTTAAAGGGTATTTTTTTTTTTTTTAAAGAAAAGGTCGGTAACAGAAGATGGTAATTTTAATGTTTTGGCACTTTAATAAGCTGGCAACCCTCTGTCGATTTCCAAAATTCATTAAAACTAGAAAACTAGGATGCTCATCCCTAAAGTGGCTAGCTCAGAGCTGAGCACATATGATTATGTGAATATGTATTTAAACCGATCTCATCTGAGAGGGAGGGGCTGGTCTCTTCTGGGTGCATCATTCTCTACAGACGTCAAGGTGGATCATAGAACTCCTGGGGGCCCTGCAGGTACAGGTATTTGTAGCAGATTCAAGTCAGGTAATTGCCTCTGAAACATACCTCCCTGTATACCTATATATGTGGCACTCTGTGAGACGGCCCCAGTAACAACTTTATTTTTTTTAAAGGTTTTATTTATTGATTGATTTGAGAGAGCGAGCGAGAGAGAGAGAGCACAAGCAGGGGGAGCAACAGGCAGAGGGAGAGGGAGAAGCAGGCTCCCCGCTGAGCAGGGAGCCCCATGGGGGACTAGATCCCAGGACCCTGGGGTCATGACCTGAGCCGAAGGCAGACGCTTAACCAGCTGAGCCACCCAGGCGTCCCCCCCACCCACCCAGTGACAACTTTATAAGATGATGTTACTGTAGCCCTCTCACAGTAACACCTGGGCCCCTGACGAGCACAAAGCCAGCGTCAGTAATTACGTGTTTTCAACACGATCCTTAGAGCTGGAGATCCCCATCCCAAAGAGCCTCCACCTAACACGGAGGCAAACAACACCTGGTACTCTCTTGGGGCTTCTCTGGGATCGGCATGTGATGGGGAAGTTGCCGGTCATGGGTGAAGCCCCTGGCCAAAGCGTACCATGAAGGCGGGCGGCTGGACGGCTGGACGGCGTGGATGCAACGCAACTACTCCTGCGCCTGTAGGAAGGCTTTGCCCGGCCAGGACTTTGCCTAGGAAGAGGGAATTTGGCAAGCCGCCCGCGTGCCAGCCTTCTTGGTGTAACGCGACGCTCTTCTGTAGGAAAGTGCCTCTGCCCCCTGGCGCCGGTCCGCAGGCTCCTGATGAAACCGTGACCCCACTACCCCCGGCCCAGCCCCTGGGCTGCAGCCCTAGCGCTCCCGGCGCGCAGCCAATCACGCGGCGAAGCGGTGCTAGCCCGGACGGCGGCTCCACGGCCATTGGCCCACGGCTCGCGTCCCGAGCGCGCCCATTGGCCGTGGGGGGCGTTCACGTGGAAGGGGTTCCGGGATGGCTTCCCAGGTGGGGAGAGGTGCCGGAAAGTTAAAGGGAGCCGCGCGTGGCGGTTGGTGACCGGCCACGGGGAGGAGGCGAGCGGGCTGCTCTCGCGCGCGGACGGATGCGTCTGCCCGCCAAGCGCGCGGACCCGAGTCCCGGCCCCAGCTCCTGCCGTCGCCGCCGCTGCCCCTGCCACCCCCGCGCGGATGCTGCGGCGGGCTGGCGCATCTGGACCTCGGGGCTTATGAGCTGTACCAGGTACGTCCGTCCCCCAGCCCTCGAGTCCCAGTGCAGGGCCGAGAAACGGCGGCGAGGGGCGCGCGCGCGGTGGAGACCTTCTTTGATTCCTTCCACCTGCACTTCCGCCGTCCAACTTGCAGTCACACTCCGGGGGTGGAACACTCTAGACGGGGTCGGGGCGGCTATTGCTTTCAGGTGGAAAGAGTAATCCAGGGAGGGACCAGAGGTGGGATGGAGCCTGGCCGGATCCACAAGTTCCACTGAAGTGCGGGTCTGGCCGCCAGGGGTAGTTGAGGGTGGCTGGGGCTGGGACTGCTGTGCCGAGTTCGAACCTGAGACAAGGCGCTTCCAGCCTGGGGCCCGACTCTTCCGGAGGGTGTCCCCGAAGTTGGGCGGTGGGGACTGGAGTGCAAGGAAAGGGCTTCCCCGTACTACGCGAGGAAACACACTTGGGAGTCTCTCAGGCCGCCGAGGGCGATGGGACCCAGAGCCAGCCCCGGTGCACGGTCCCCGGTCCCCAGGCAGGGGCTGTCGCGGGCCGGCGGGGGCGTAGCGGCCGCGCGGGGACGCTCGCGCGGCGCGGCCCCGCCCGGGGTTGCCCGGCCGCCCCGCCCGGGTGTGATAACTTGGGCTCCTCCTCCTCGTCGTCCTCCTCCCCCTGCCGGTCATAGCTCCGGGAACGGAGCGCCAGCCCTGCCTCCCGGACACACGACGCTCACGTAGTCCGGTGGCGGCCGCCTCCCCTGCCACCTCCCTCCAGGCTCTCCGATGCAGCGAGCCAGCTGGAGAGGGGGCTTCCCCACGGCCCAAAAGGTGGGTGCGGGACAAGGCGAAGGAGGCTCACGGAGTGCTTGGGGGCGGGGTGCAGGCCGGTTGGGCCGAGGGGGGCAGGGTCGCACTGACCTGTGGGATCTTCCAAGTCTGGAAGCTCTGGCCTTACTCCTGCCCCCTGCCCTGTTCATGGCACCCTTTTGAACCAGAGAAAGGGGTGTGAGGGGACTTGCTAGCCAAGGAGCGGGTATAGGGCCCGGAGCGACATACCAGAAGGGTTGGGGCCCGTCTGGGTATTGTTTACTGCAGAGGAGAAAACCAAGGACAGACTGGACTTGAAGACTTGGAGAGTTGCTAAAAGGTGTTGGAGCCTGTGGTCTGTGTGGCCAGGCCTCCCTGGGAGACCCAGGGTCCGGGAGAAGAGCGATTAGGGCTTTGAGCAGGGCTGGGGTGAAGAGGAAATGGTTCATATGGTAGGGTTGTCCAGCAGCCAAGACTAAAGTTGAAGACAGCCAGTGGACTCACCACAAAAGCAAAGTAGAGGTATTTCGGGGAAAGTGAGAGGGAAGAGAACAGAAGTTAGTGGGCATTATTAGCAACCAGGATTCAGAGCTAGAAGGGACCTCCGAGGAGAAACCTAAGCCCCGAAAGATTCAGTGACTTGCTCCAAGTGGCACAGCTAGGGGGAGGCCTTCCTAGGCTAGTGCTCTGTGTTTCATGTTGGGCATTTTTAGATGGCAAGTGCTGTAGCATTTTAACTTAACCTCCTTCCTGTAATAGTCTGTGTGTGTATGTGCGCGCGGGTGTGTATCTCAAAGATGCTTTAGATGACGGTAGCAGGATAGAAGAGCGCAAGTGGCTTTTAAGGCTGTGAATAAGGGCCCCATGATCGGAGTAAAAAGAATAATATGTCAACTTTATTTATACTGTGTCAGCCAAACCTGTTGGGAGGGAGTAAAGTAATGCCAAAGGGTAGATGGACATGTCTTTTTAAAAAGTACAACCTGGTAACCTGGTTGTGGATGCTTACCTAGTACAGTTTCAGTGTTCCTGGTGGGTTCTTGGTCTGATTTTTCTGTCTTTTCCTATCAAAGTATGAAAATGGAGGGGAAATGTCTTGGCCTCAATCCTGAAAAAAGATTTACTTCCTATAAAAGGCACAGCCAAAAAGCCAGTAGCTCAGCTGCCTGAGACTGTGGAGATCATGCGGTTATTTTCTGTACAGGTCTATAGTTTCCTCAAGAAACACCACCATAACCTGATGAGCTGTCCTGAGAGCTGCGTTATTTGTCACTAGTGGAACAGGGAAAGTATTTATGCAAAACTATCCCTGTTCGCTTCAATTTTCATGGAGTGTTGGGGTTTGCCCTCTTTTGACCAGGAACACTGAAATCCACCCTTGGGCATGGTCCATTCCCTCATGGAGCAAAAATGATCTCTTAGGCATCTATTTGGAAGTCAAGTTTTTGAGAATCTGAGTAACAGCCACTCACACTCTCATGACCTTGTCCTGCAGCAAACTGATAGCGAATCCTGTGTCATACTCTGCTGGTTCAAATGTGTGTCTCTGTCTTCTCCTTCTGACTTTTTCTCTGGCCAACCTTGGTGACTCATATTCCCCGGCCTGGGAAAGGGCTGAGCAGCCAGGAGAACGTGTCAGGAGAGGAGGCCTGAGGTACAGCCTATGCATACAGTGTTGGAACTGATCCTTTTTATGCCATTTGTGGATAAAACACCTGCCCGGCTGCCTTCCTTTCAGATACTTAGGAAACTTAGCTTGTCCATCTCCATTGCTAGGAGTACTTCTGGGTGATGATCATCCCTGTCACAGCCCACTGGGGAATTCCTGAGCAGAGGGTCAGGAAGGCCTACATCACATCAGCATTTGGTACACTGATTCTCAAAGAACGATCCGGTTCATAAAAGCTGGAATCTACCTGTGAGGATAGGCAAATGGCCAACAGTCAGATCGTACCCTGTTTGGGGCCACAAGGGTTAATGTCCTCACCTCCAGTGATCGTGTCACTTAAATAGTGACGGGTGCTGGGCAGTGGTTGTTAGCAGTGCCCCTGAGTCCGTAGCCCTGTTAGGAACCCTCGGGCCACCAGGTAGTTAACTTTATTTTTGCCTTTCGTGGAAGAAGGTTGCAAAACCAATGAGGCTCTAGAGTGTGCCGGTGGAATTGTTTAATGAGCTGGCTCTGAGCAGAACCTCACCCTCCGACCCCCAGTTCCAATAGTTCTTAACAGTTCGGTATAAAAGGGATCTCGGGGAGGGCACCTGGGTGGCTCAGTTGGTAAGTGACTGCCTTCAGCTCAGGTCATGATCCTGGAGTCCTGGGATCGAGTCCCGCATCAGGCTCCCTGCTTGGTGGGGAGTCGGCTTCTCCCTCTGACCCTCCCCCTCTCATGCTCAGTCTCTCTCTCATTCTCTCTCAATAAATAAAATCTTAAAAAAAAAAAAAGGGGGGGGGATCTCAGGGGCAAATGTACACCCGCTGGGTCCAAACAGTGAAACTTCAACTAAGTCTTTTAAATCCATAAGATTAAAAGCTGAGAGTGACTTTAGTCAACTGCAAGTGAGCAGATTCTTTCACTGATCCACTTGTTTTAGAATTCTGTTTCCACAGTATCTTGAGAGTTTCCCAACCTTTTTCTAATGAGCTGTTTTAACATTGTGTGGGGAAGCACGTATGAGGTGCAGGAAAGCACGTATTGAGGCTGGTTTGCAGGCTTGAAGGGACAGAGAAGAGGATGGAGAACTTACAATTGACCTTGTGCTGACTCAGGCAAGGAGGAAGGGCTGTAGGGTCAGAGGAGGAACCCAGCCTCCCTCAGTACACGCCCAGGTTGTCAGGGGTGGGCAGAGTGGGAGGGGCTGGGATGCAAGGTTTTGCCTACTTTGGGGGTATTTTTAATCCACATTTAATTAAAAAAAAAAAAAAAACAACTACCTGTGTTCACATTAGAGCTGAAAGTGAACGGTGCGTTCTAAGGAAGTTTTCAGTGGACAGGGGAAAAGTAAAATTCATGTACTTTTTAAATACAGGGTTGTTTTGTTTTGTTTTGTTTTCACATTGAACCCATTTGCCAACCCACTGACCCTCTGTAAAGCTATCTTGCCCATTTCAGTGAGAACTTTTCTTTTCCAGAACAATTGCATGGGTACAAAAACATATAATAGAAAGCAAATTTACTCCTAAAATTTCCACTTGTTGATTTTATTAGAGGGGAAACAGTAAGATAAATATCCTTTAAAATATATGTTTAGATAAGTACATTGTGCCTATAAATTATTGTTTTGTGTCTCTGAATGAATGTGTGTGTTTTTCTCATCATTCATCACCAAATGGTTCCTGCATCCTAGGGAATGGCTGTATTTCTTTTGGAAAATGGGATCAAACCCAATGTGACTTTGTTCTTATTTTTCTTTATATATTTGATGAATCAAAATCAGAAGTTGAAAATGAGATGTTTATTGGACTGAACCAGTGGTCTCAGCTCCTGTCAGAAGATGAGCAACATTTTGCCTATTGCTTCTCCTTAACTATCACCGTCACCCTGGAGCCCCCCGCCAGTGGGCAGGACTAGGGGAGGCCTGAGAGCAAGCACCCCAAAAACCACCACATACCTACACCTTTGCCATAGTAAGGGGGGAGAGGTTTGGGACCTAGTCCAGATCCTGTGTTCTGCGGTTCGCAGACTACGGATTTTAAGCCTGGTTTCGTCACTGACTTCTTCAGGTAGCCCGTTGTAACTATCAAATCAGAATATAAATTTGGTATGGTAATTAGATGATAAAAATTGCTTGGTTTTGTGAGGCAGTCGTGTCGGATGGGATAGGTTTTGGCCAATCTTAAATATTTGAGGCATTTTATTAGATTCATTTTTTTCTCCCTGATTATAGAAGTGATGTTATTTTTAAAAATACAACACAGGAAAACAAATTTCCTGAAATCACATCACCTGGATATTCTGACAATTTCAAGTACATCTCTAGTCTTTTTTCTGTACATATGCCTAATATTTTTCCCCCCAAGTCTAGTCTCTATGTACAATTTTATCTTCTCTATTTTTTACATTAAAAATATATCATAAATTTTTTCCATGCCACTTAAACCTTTTTTCCAAAATTTTTTTTTTGGTTTTAATAATGATTAAAAATTTTTTTCTGGTTTTAATAATAATACAAAATTTTATCACTGGATGTTGTATACCTAATTTAACCAGATACCTGTTATTGGTCCTTTAGGTTTTCTCACCTTTTCCTCCCTATAATGTTGCATTGAACATTTTAGTACTTTAACCCCCATGCATTAACTCCTTAAGATTAATACCTGTATCTGATATTAGAACTAAAAATGATAATATTTAGAAAGGGTTTGCTGGTTTAGACTAATCCATGTGTTCATATTATTTTTCAAAAGTCTTTACTAACTCAGGAGGTAAAAACAGGCATTGTTTCCTAATCTAAATTCTCTAATTATAAGGTTGGACATTTTGCATATTTCTAGGGCATTTTTAAGTTTTTTTCATGAATTTTCCATTCATGCTCTTTGCTCATTTTTTTATGTGGACTATTTGATTTTGTTATTGTTTTGTAAGAACTCTTTGTATACGAAGGTATTAACTCTTCGCTGCCATACTTTTTGTAAAATGTTTTCCCAGTTTGTCTTTAAGCTTTTGGTTTTACTTTTTTTTTCACTTAGAGAAAAATACTGTTTCTATGAAGTCAGATTTAACCTGATCTTGAGCACAGTTCTCCTTGCCTTTTATTCTTATAGAGGTTATCTTCACTATAGAAAAAAACAAATATCCACCTATATGAAAGGTTTAAAAAAACTAAATTATTGGCATTTTGTAAAAGATACACTGGCATATAAAAATCTAGTGTACAGGTTTGTGTCTGTCTTCACATTTGAATTCCAGTGTCTAGCATACTACCTGGCGTATAGTAAATACCAATCGATATTTATGGGATGAATTCATTTCTTTTGGGGCTCTTGGGTGGCTCAGTCAGTTAAGCATCTGCCTTCAGCTCAGATCATGATCCCAGGGTCCTGGGATCGAGCCCCACATTGGGCTCCCTGCCCAGTGGGGAGTCTGCTTCTCTCTTCTCTCTTGCCCTCTGTCCCTCTCCCCGCTTATGCTCTCTCTCAAATAAATAAATAAAATCTTTAAAAAAAGAATTAATTTCTTTTTATCATATTAGAGCATTACCTACCAAAGTATGTTTCTCAGAACATGTGTTCTGCAAGATGCTCCACAAAAAAAGCATTCCTTGGTCAGATCAGTTTGGGAACTCCTGCAGACAGAACGGTTTTGTTATTCCCCAAGGCACTCTAGCGGACTGAGGGCCCCAAGAAATCCTGGTGGAAATACCTGTGAATTTAGTTTTAAAACCAGCAGCTCCCTACTTTTTTGTTTGTTTTAACCTTTGCCCTCTTCCCCCCCACACACACTTCACACGCTTAATCTCCCCTGAAACTGAAGTCACACTGGCCCACACTTGAGTTAATGCCGCCGTGTGGGCCAAGACGAAGGCAGACACTGTTTGCCAGCCCCCATTGGCATGTTGCCTTGAACGTCCGTCTGATCTGGTTGCCGTTTCTTTCTCTTCTTTGGCCAGGGTTCTAGCCTATTCGTCTAACCCCATGATGGCAGTGGACATAGCGTGCAGATACAGCTGCATGGCCCCTTCCCTGCGCCAAGAGAGGTTCGCCTTCAAGACCTCACCGAAGCCAAGTGAACCACTGAGGCCGTGCATCCAGCTGAGCAGCAAGAATGCAGCCAGCGGGATGGTGGCCCCCACCGTCCAGGAGAAGAAGGTGAAAAAGCGGGTGTCCTTCGCAGACAACCAAGGGCTGGCCCTGACAATGGTCAAAGTGTTCTCAGAATTCGATGACCCATTAGATATTCCGCTGAACATCACCGAGCTCCTAGACAACATTGTGAGCTTGACGACAGCAGAGAGCGAGAGCTTTGTTTTGGATTTCATGCAGCCTTCCGCTGATTACTTAGACTTTAGAAACCGGCTTCAGACCGACCACGTATGCCTTGAAAACTGTGTCCTGAAGGACAAAGCCGTCGCAGGCACGGTGAAGGTGCAGAACCTGGCATTTGAGAAGATGGTGAAAATAAGAATGACATTCGACACCTGGAAAAGCTTCACAGACTTTCCCTGTCGCTATGTGAAGGACACTTACGCCGGCTCGGACAGGGACACGTTCTCCTTTGACATTAGCTTGCCTGAGAAAATTCAGTCGTATGAGAGGATGGAGTTTGCCGTGTGCTTTGAGTGCAGTGGGCAGACTTACTGGGACAGCAACAAAGGCAAAAACTATAGGATCATCCGAGCCGAACTACAATCCACTCAGGGCACCGCCGAGCCACCAAACGGGCCCGATTTCGGAATATCCTTTGACCAGTTTGGGAGCCCTCGGTGTTCCTACGGTCTGTTTCCAGAGTGGCCGAGTTATTTAGGATACGAAAAGCTGGGGCCCTACTATTAGTGACTGCTTGTGTTGGAGCTCGGCTGAGCAGGTGCGGAGAAGCCTCGCTGCGGTCATGGGCGCGTGGAGACGGAGGCCAGGAGGAGCGCTCAACTGCCATTCGGCACAGTCTTCGGAAAGAAAGGATCCTATTCACTTGTTTTCTTAAGCCAGCAAAGCCAACCAGGTTTTAGATCACAGGACTGGTTTCACACTCAGAGTAGATGTGAGGTGCTGGTCGGCTGGGCACCCAGGGCGGCCACGGGGGTCGGAGCAGGACCCAGGCCCGCGGGCATTGCCGGGGACGCTGGAGGACGGTGGCTTCATAACGAGGCCACCGGGACGCGCCCCGGCTGCCTGGAGGAGCGGCTCCTGCCCCCTGGGATGTGGACAGTCACCTGGAAGTCACTCCATCCCCAGCCACCTCCCATGGGACCCTTGCCGTTCATCTCTGGGCGCTCCCCACCCAGCCGTGTCCTTCCTGCCTGTCACTGCTGTTCCTTGTGTCCACGTACTCTACTTCACACTTTAGCTCTGTGGTTTTTGCTGGTTTTTTTTTTTTTTTTTTTTGCATTTTTGTTTTCTTCACTGTTCATCTGATGTTCAGGAAAAGATAAGGCAAATTAGCCTGTGATGGAAACAGGCGCTTCCTCTTCCTGACCCCACATATATGTGTTCCAGCAGAGAAGGACATACCAGTTATCCAAAGTAACTTGGCTCCTATGCGGGGTTCCAGACTGCAGGCTTCTGACAGGCAGGACCGCGAGGGGACACCGGTGGCTTTTCCTCTTGGCTTTTGGGGGAGCTTTCGAAGTACCCACTCCTATCCTGAGTCACCAGACAGCCTAATTACAAGATTTGCTGGAACTTGCTCGGCTGGTTTGCAGGCATCTCATTCTTCCCAGAGGGATTTTAGACTCTCCTTTCCTAGAGAGCCCTCCTCCATGCTGTGTCCAGGACATCTTGATTTGCAGATCTGATGGATCCTCAAAACATCTACTTTGACTATGATCTGCGCTATCCAGGACCCTTTGCAAGCACCCAGGGACTTTGATTTGGGTGTTCTTATTTATGGTGTGTGAGTATATATAAAAGGGATAGAGGAGAAAACCCTCACCAAGTTCTCATATTTTATTTTCAAAGTGTGGCAACTCTGAAATATCAGAGAAGAATTGTTCTTACCCATATTGGACCATGAATTAAAAGTCTCTTTTAAAAAGTTCATACTGTCGTGAGACTCCTGGGACATTCACTGACAGATGGATCCCCAAACCCTGTAATTCTTCGGGGTGAGATTGGTTTGTACTTGGGGGTGTTTAAAAAATATTTTTACATATGTATTGGGAGAAGGTTGGGGTTTTGTTTTTTTTTCTGTTTTGTTTTTGGAGCTTAATTAAATGACTGTCTCGTTTTCCATTTGCCTGATTTTAGTAAAGTGAGATTTTCCTAAGCAAGGCAGGAAGAGGGATCCACAGCTGCCTGGATTTGGAGGCCCAGCCACTGGACTCTGCAAGCAGAGAGTCATCTTTTGCTTGCATATTCCAGATCAATTGGAAGAGGCATCCTGGCTTCTGTGGCTTTGTCAGTTAGTGTCAGGCAGGGATGGAGTGTCTTGGCTCCTAGAGTTTTGTGGTTGGTTTTTTGTTCCCCTTCTTTTTTGAACTTTACAATGTTTTGACTTTTTAAATGTTCTTAAGTGATGTTTGATGTAATTCTTGTTCCTAAAACTGGCTGTTACTCGTCTGTGATCTAGTGCTTTATTTTTTATGCCTCTCCCAGAAGGGTAGGACTCGGGGATCACATAATATAATTTATGGGAAAATCGCATTTTTATCTTACGCTGAAATTGGGCAGAATTGTGTTTTATCTAGACATATCTATATCAGATACAGAAACGGGACTTTCAGTGTCACAGTCTGGTGATCAGAACTATCGATAGTGCAAATCAAAACCGAATGGAAGCAAACCATTTTATATAGGTCGTGAATTTATTTTGTTTTGAGAAGTCCAGTCCCTCCTCCTCCAAGTCAAGAAAGGTACCAGGTGCCCTGTCATTTATGTGTTACCAGACTGCAAGTAACAAGATCATTCTGTATTCAAAAGAAAAATGCCTCAAGAGACGCCTGTTTGGTTTTCAGTAATGGTGATCTTAAGACATTCCCGTGTCAAAATTTGAAATATGGTAATTCAGCAATAAGGAGCTCTTAAAAGCAGCTATAAGCCCTCCCCTCCCCCATCCTTACTCCCAGCTCACCCCAGCTTTTTTGCTGGGGGCACTGGTTGCAAATCCCCCGCCGGTGCACCTGGGATGCTCGCCCTACCAGGCAAGTTGTCACCTGCCTCAAAGACCCTTCTCTGACTAGAGAATGTGGTTGCGAGACTTTCCTGTCAGCCTCGTCATTCAGGGAGGCAGGGGCCTCTGAAGAATACTGTCTTATTCACCAGTCTCTCTCCCTTGGGCCCAGTTCTGTCCCAGGATATCAACGGATGGTCCCAGGATCTGCAGAACCCCTCCTTATTTCGGAGCTCACCATCAGTAAGTAGGTCTCCACACTTCAGACAGTGACAGATTTCTTAGTTGGAGACGTCACTGCAGCCTGACTTGGGGGTTTGCCCCTCACACAGCTGTTGGTGATGGGGACGAATGTCCCCCAGCCCCAGTGCCCTTTCCAAGTTGCCCCCCAAAGGACGGGCCTCCCACTACACTAGTACCCTTGTCCAGAAATGGGGAAGCAGCTCCATTTTGTTTCATGTTTATTTCCCCCAATGCCCTGGGGAGCATTCGCAAATTAGGTGCAATAAATAAGTTGGACTATAGAAAGATACATAATAAATAAGCTTTCAGTGTTTCTTGGAAGATAGGAAGCATTTGAATGGGTTTCTTTTTATTTTTGGAAGTATTCTGATGAAAGGGGAAGTGGTGAGAAATAATGGGAGTTCTGTAGTTCTCCAGAAATTAAAGCAATTTCAGAGTCAAGGTAGAATTTATTTTTTCTCTAAGGTTTCATTTTAATGGTGGAAAACATTACTGTTTCAGTGTTTTTTAAAGATGTAAATTTCGAATGGCTAAAAGAATGTTTCGTGGTTTTGATCTTTGCGTATAATTTGCTTTTTAAAAAGAAGCATTATTTGTAGTCACTTGGAGGTTCAATGGGTTATAGGTATGTTTAGAAACCAAAAAAGAGTCGGCTCATTTTTTAGAAGGGCCCGTTTTCCGGGTCTTCCCCCTCAGTGGACAGTGAATGAAAACTTTGATTGTCTTTCATTTGTTTCCTCATCGAAAATTCCTCCTCTGGGTGCGGTTTGCCAGAGCAGGCCCCGTGGCCCTCTGCTCTGGGGGGGTTCCGATCACTGAAACCGGGGAGGAAGAGTCATAAGCCTAATATGATCTTACCGGGTCTCAAAGACATTCTGGTGGCTTCTCTGCGCTTCCCAAAGTGGACACGTGGGACTGGGAAGGGTGTCTGTGGTTTGGGGCGGCTTTTCCTCGGCATGGTTGGAAAGCCGGGAATGTTTTTGGCAGTTTCGGTGCTCAGTTCCTAGAGCCTGCTGGACCTGGGAGGACTCCCAAGAAGGCAGGTGTGAAGACGATGTTTCACTTTTACTTCAGTGTGAATGGAGAACCGAAGGCTCGTCTGCACCCAATGCCTCAAAGTGCCTTGTCAAGAAACGTCCGCATGTTTAAAAAATAAATAAATATTTTTGTACACAGCGTTTAAAGGGAAATGCACTTTAAAATCACAAGAATGGATGTCTTTTGTGTGGTATAAGAGAGTGGTTGGTTTGTATCTCAAAACGCAAAAATGTAATAAAGGTAGAAAGCACAAGACTGAAACTGTTCTATTTTAAAACGGACTCTTCTGGGAGTCAGAGGCTGGTGAGAATTTTTTTTTTTATCATTTTCTTTTTTTTTTTAATCTTTTTTTTTTTTTTTTTTTTAATTTTAAGTCATCTCTACCCCCAACATGGGGCTTGAACTCACGAACCCAAGATCAAGAGTCGCACGCTCCATGGACTGAGCCAGCCAGGTCCCTGGGGAGAGAATTATTTTCAATTAGTGTGTTTCCACATATGGAATGTAGGTTTTCAAAGGGCTAGATCTCAATCAGGGGCTGAGTTAGAAAGCTGAGACACACAGGGAGGTGGTCATTACGGTTTAGCTGTCCCCGTGGTGAAGGCCGGTCACAGCTAAGGGCTAGAGAAACACAGGGCCAGTGTTGTTCCGAATCCATTTTCACTGATCTGAGGGCACGTCTCCTACCCTCTCACTTGCTCGTGAAGCATATTTTGGGCTGACTGTTTTTACAGGTAGGAAAACTGTAAACATGGTCGTGGTGGCTTTTACCTGCTTGTTCCGACAGACTGTAACCAGCAAAGCCAACCAGCTCCTGGTGGGGCCTCTGTTCCTTTGGATGTCAGCACTCGTCCTAAGTAAGATTTCCAGAGATGTTTTATTTCAGAGTTAGATGGGATGGAGGGAGAGGCAAATTGCTGCCAGACGTTTCCTGTAACTCAGTGTGCACCATGCTGCAAAGGCCCATGGGAAAGAAGAGCGCAGCAAACCTCAGCACCTACTGAGTCAATGCAGAAAAGGAGTACGCATACCTGCCTTTCTCAAGACGGTCAAACACGGCCCACAGTTCGCCTTCACAGAAATGGGACGGGGGAAGAGTCAACAGTGGTTTTTTTACGAATGTGTCTATTTGAGATTCAGTATGGTTTTCATAACCATTCCATAATTCTAGCTTGTGAGACAGATATCTCAGAGATGTCTGGAGGGGCAAAAAACAACAACAATAACAACACAAAGCATTTTCCTAGGGCAACGTCCCCAGATTAGCAAATACCCAGCTCTGAATTATTCAGTTGAACGTTTACGGCTTATCTACCTACCGCGTGCAAGGCGGTGCAGTCCCTCTAAGAGATATTCCTGTTCTAGATGAATCCCCTGACAGCCAGGAAAAGCAGTGTGTTCTGCTGACTCTCCGTATTAGGAGTCAGAGGCCTGGGTCCTGGCCTTGACTCTGCTGTCCCCTATCAAGTCTCTTACCAAAAGGGCTCTGAGTGTTCGTAGCAGGGATAAGACAACCAGGGGATCTAGTGGTGCCCCAAGTACTTAAGAGTCAGCCAACATGTTCATTTTAAAAATGCTTCTAAATATAAACTTGTAAGAAATACCATGTACACCACTTCCATTCTTCACAAGAATCACAGGAATGAATAGCATTCCAGACAACAGCTTGGACTACCTAAAATCAGTGTTCAAGCTGAAGAGACAGCAGCTCGTGTTCATGGGTAAAGACCCGAAGGCCCTCTGTGTGTGTCCTCAAGTCACAGAGCCAGTCCGTGACAAAGCCAGGAGGATCACGTGGGTCCTTTATTCTTTTTCCAAGAACTCTCCCCCCTGACACTGGAGTCATGCTCGCAGAACTGACGCTGAAGTGGTCAATTCTGAAAAGTCGGTCCCTCCCTCTGGAGAGATGCAGTCCCCCGGGGGAGGAGTGAACACATTCGTCTCTATTTTTTTTTTTTTTAAAGATCTTATTTATGTATTTGACAGAGCGAGAGAGAGCACAAGCAGGGGGAGCGGCAGAGGGAGAGGGAGAAGCAGGACCCTGGGATCGTGACCTGAGCCAAAGGCAGCCACCCAGACGCCCCAACACACTCGTTTTTAGATGCAAATGGCACATCCCTCCCAAAGGCTTCCTCAGCATCTGTGAGGCCCACAGGCCACGTGAAAGCATAAATGCAAACAGTACGTGATCTGGGTATCCAAGGGCCCAGCTGGATGTGATGGGTGGCAGGGAACCGCCAAAGGGGCCTGTGGCTACAGAGGCATTCCAGCCCCTAGGCAGGACTCGTGGCCTCGGCGTCATCTTCCACCAGAAGGGAAGGCCTTTGTCATGGCTCAGGAAGGCTCTAATCCTCCCTCCTCTCCCTTCCCCATGAAGAGCCCTTGGTGAGGAGATGGAGAGGGAATCTCAGCAGAGATCTGTGTCCATGAGGGATTCTCCGGTAGGTGACATGTTTAGTCAGCATCATTCATCTCACAAACACGGACGTCCCTCCATAACCTTGGGCCCTCGGCTGGACTTGAATTTGACAATGGTAAGATGAGGATGTATAATGCTCATTTTCCTCTGGGGTCAAAAACATTAATGATCTGGGATCCCGGCCCTCCACCCCAAAATGCAAGATCGGATGATTAGGTCAGGGGTTGGCAACCTTTGTCTAAAAAGGGCCAGATAGTAACTATTTTAGGCTTTGCGGGCCACCTGCAGCCTCTGTCACATATTCTTCTGAAAACAAAACAAAACAAAAAAAACCTTTAAACATGAAAAACTGTTCTTAGCTGTGGGCTGTACAAAAATATAAAATCGGCCAAGGGCTAGACTTGAACTGTTGGCCGCAGCCCGCTGTCCATGGTTGAAAAGTTGTCTAGGAAGAGAGACTTCAGAGCAGACTGGCAGACCCTCAGTGGAGACCCAGAGTCAACTCATCAGCTGGTTCATTTAGAGACCCTACAGTTGATGGTCCAAACGGGAATGCTTTCAAGAAGGAGCAAGGGTGCTATGAATTACCACAGAGCACTCCATATGAGCTACGAGCAACCTGAGCAAACCCTGCTGAGTGAGCCCTGCCCGTGCTCCCCCATCCTGGGCCTGTGGGATCCTCTCAGACCTTTGAGGGGCCCAGAGAGCCCAGGATGGTCATGGGCTGGGATCAGTTCTGGCTGGATAGTCCTTCTTTTTTTTTGGATGAGTTATAACAGAGTGGTGATTTCGTCTGTGGTTTAGATGTGTTTATGTTGGTTAGGTTTTCTGTTTCCTAATTGTAGTGCGGATGGCCAAAGACCCTCTGGAAACTCTAGTCAATTTGAAGAGGAAAGGGGTTATTAATGGTTTGGACATAAGTCCTGCCACCTCTTTCCCCTCCTCCCCGTCCCTACCCAATAGAGCATGGCAGAGCTCCCTGAGAAACTGTTTACTGGGACAGAGGCTGAATCTAGCCGTACTGCAGGCCCCAGGCCTCAGGCCTCATAAAGTAACCCTGACGGGCTCCTGGGAACTTGGCCAACTACACGGTCTCAGCTCATCTTTCTCTGGCCCAGCGAGCTCAAGAGGCCTTAAGACACACAGGAAATCAAGGAGGTGGGAATTCCTCTCCCTTCCTGCTGGCCATCTCTGTGATGCAGACATACATGCTCTTCCTTTTAAATCTGTCGCTGCCTCCTCCTGGCCTTCACTGTCAGCTAGAACTGAAGGAAGGTCTGCAATGCTGAGGAAACCCTAATGTTCATGCTGTGGGGACCTGGGGAGGTTGTTATGAAGCCCCAGTATACCCAAAGGGAACTCCACCACCAAAGGGGAGGTGAAGCTTTCTGAGAAAGTAGGAACACCACACATCACAACGTACACTGTGACAGTTGATGAGAAAGAGAAATCACTCACTACTGCTGGGCCCACCCCCAGGGCCACCTAGTTAATTGTCCTTTGGTAGACACCTTGGTCCCATCTGAATGTGGAACTAGCTAGGTGACATTTCACGGATCTTATTATCACACCGTTTTATCAAAAATTATGTTATTCGTCATTTGCCATTAATCAATTACCTATCGAAAAAAACACTGACCCATTCCCCCAGATATTTTCGTAAATCCTGTTTGCACACTGTTTTGCACATTTGCTCATGCAGTCAAGCATCTGTTCATCTGAATTCTCCGGTCTCCGGTAGCTTTGCCGTCAGCTGATCAATCACCTCACCACCTTGAATCCTCATGCCTTGTATTACTCATGCATTATGATTACACACACACACACACACACACACACATTGAAAAGAAAAAGACAAATCATTTTCTTTCCAAAAATCCCTTTCACACCGGTTCATTTTTCTGCTCTCAAAAGGGCAGTTTCTGCCCCAGGCCTTCAGGCCAGGCGTGCTCTGTTCTAGCCAGGACTAAGGGCAGCACCGAATGAGCCCCACGGCCTGCAGGAGCTAGAGTAGGAAAGGAAGAGTGGCACAAGGCATTTGTCCTCCTTCCCAGCATCTCTCACTCCTTCTCGGCGTCCCTGCTGTCTCCCCAGACAGGGAGTGTAGAGATACAGGGGACAGTCCACCTCAGACAGGAACAGCTGGTGGTTTTCACATTTTTACGAAGCATTGGAATCTGCTTCTAAACTAAATCTGACATGAACCTAATTAGTAAGATAAGTAGAAAAGGTGCTGGCCAAGGTGGAAATTGCAGGAAGCAGGGGACCACACCCATTTCCCCCTCCCTGGACTCCTGAGGCACTTCCTAAGAGCCCTGGGACCCAGAAATGGGTGAGAACCTTTGCCTTAGAGCGCAGAAGTTACAAGTCTCCTGACTCCTACGCTAGTGAATGTAGCTCAAGGATATCCTGTAAAATAAAACAAAAGCAAGCTGACAAACAAAACAAAACAAAACTTCTATGGGAGCGAAACACAGTTTAACCCCATATGATGCCAAAGGACTTGGTTATGTTTTGGTTCTATTATCGAAGATAATTATTATCCTCTTTCACAAAAAAATCATTGGCTTGTTCACAAGGACCGCATTGGAGTTGCCTATTATCGTTCCTAAGTGTCTCGCATTTACATACAAAAATTGAACTTCCGGACAAGGCAACTTCTATTCCATACTAACAGTAATACACAAAAGAAAACTACCGAGTGCTTCTATGGG